AAGGGTGGCAGTAGTGTAAATAGAGGGTGGGAGGTATGTAAGTCAGAGGTGGCAGTAGTGTAAGATGAGGTCGGCAGGTAGTGTAAGATGAGGGTGGTAAGTAGTGTAAGATCAGAGGGTGGCAGGTAGTGTAAGATCAGAGGGTGGCAGGTAGTGTAAGATGATGTGGTGGCAGGTAGTCTAAGAGGGTGTTGAGTAGTGTAAGATCAATGGCAGCAGTGTAAATGAAGGGTGGCAGTAGTGTAAGATGAAGGTGGCAGGTAGTGTATGATAGAGGTGCAGGAAGTGTAAGATAGAGGGTGGCAGGTATGTAATTGAGAGGGTGGCAGTAAGTGTAAAATCAAGGTGGGAGGGAGTGTAAGGTGAGTGTTAGTATAATGAAAATGTGTGTAGGTAGTTTTAAGATAGAGGGTGCAGGAGTGAAGATGAGTGTGTGTCAAAGTAGATAGTGTTGGTAGGTAGTGTAAGATGATTTTAAGTAGTGTAAGATGAGTGTGTGGAGGTAGTAAATGAGAGTGTTGGCAGGTATTGTAAGATGAAGTGTTTGACAGGGATGTATGATGAGTTGTGGAGGGAGTGTAAGATGATGTGTGGTAGGTAGTGTAAGATAGGGTGGCAGGTAGTGTAAGAATATTGTGGCTTAGTGTAAATGAGTGATGTGGCAGGGAGTAAGATGAGGTTTGACAGGTAAATGTAAGATGAGTGTGTGGCAGGTATTGTAAATATGTGTGGCAGGTGTGTAAGATGAGTAAATGACAGGTAAAATTAAGATGATTGTGGTAGGTACTGTAAGAGAGTGTTGGAGTAGTTAAGATGAGGGTGTAACAGGAATGTAAATGAGTGTGGGTAGAGTGTAAAATGAAAGGTGCAATTAAAGAATGATTGTGTGTGGTAGGTATGTAAAATGAGAGGGTGGCAGTAAATGTAAGAGAGTGGTCAGTAGTAGTAAGATGAGTGTGTATGTAGTGTGTAAGAATGTTACAGTAGTGTAAGATGATGTTGGTCAGGTAAGTGTAAGATAGAGTGTGTGGTAGGGAGTGTAAAGATGAAGGGTGCAGTAGTGTAGATGAGTGTGTGGCAGGTAGTGTAAATGATTTTTTCAGGTAGTGTAAGAAGAGTGTGTAAGTAGTTAAGATAGTGTGGCAGTAAGTGTAAGATGAAGTGTGTGGCAGGTAGTGTAAGATGAGTGTGTGGAGGTAGTGTAAGATAGTGTGTGGCAGGTAAATGTAAATGAGGGGGTGGCAGGTATGTAAGATGAGAGGGTGGGAGGTAGTGTAAGAAACAAGGGTGTCAGGTAGTGTAAATCAGAGGGTGGCAGGCAGGTAAGATCAGAGGTGGCAGGGAGTAAGAACCGAGGGTGGCAGGTAGTGTTAAGATGATGTGTGGCAGGTAAATGTAAGAAAAGATGTGTGGTAGGTAAGTGTAAATGGAGGGTGGGAGGTAGTGTAAGATAAGTGTGTGGCAGGTAATGTAAGAGATGTGTGGCAGGTAGTGTAAGATGAGTGTGGCAGGTAGTGTAAGATGAGTGTGTGGCAGGTAATTTTAAGATGAGTGTGTGGCAGGTAGTGTAAGATGAGTGTGTGGCAGGTAGTGTTAAGATGAGTGGGGCAGGTAAATGTAAGATGAGTGTGTTTTGGCAGTAGTGTAAGATGAGGTGTGCAGGTAGTGTAAAGATGGTGGCAGTATGTAAGATGAGTGTGGTAGGTATGAAATAAAGGTGGAAAGGGAGTTAAGATGTGGTGTTGGATAGTAGTTAAGATGAGAGGGTGGCAGGTGTGTAAAAATATTTTGTGGTTTAAGAAAATGTAAAGTGAAGGGTGCAGTATGTAAGATAAGGTGGCAGGTATGTAAGATGAGAGGGGTGGAGGAAAGTGTAAGATAGAGGTTCAGGGAGTCTGACACAATCTAACCGAAGACCAGACATACATCCACAGGGTCCTGATCAGTCCAAAAAAGCATAAAATATTTAGGATGCCCTCACCAAATTCAACTTCAACAAAAACAACTGGTACAGTAAACCATTCCTAAATGAACATGTTGGGAATATCTAAATAACATGGACCCTAACCAAATGCTTTAAGAAAGGAAGAAAACTTCTTTGGTAGCTGAAGTATGTTCAAGCATATTTTTCCCCAAGAAAAAAAAAATAAACTGAAGGAGACGTTCCCTGTAGAGAAGGTGAAGAATCACTGAGCTCCTCAAGAGTGCTAGATTATCTGAAACACGGAAGGAAGCACTAACCAGGAAGTGGAAAATATTGTGCTTAAGTTAAAGGACTCGTACAGTATCCAGGAGAGACAAGAGGAGCTAAAAGCGATTAGTGAATTTGAAGGAAATTCTAAATATTTCTTTTAATATACCAAAAACAAAACAAAACAAAAAAACATACCTAGTATAGGGCCTCTGCACAGAGAAGATGGAACTTACACATATCTCAACAAAGAAATGAGAGAGATACTGAAATCTCAATACGAATACGACTCTGTGTTCAGCGAGCCATTAATCAGTCTGAAGGTAAACAATCCAAATAATATTTTCATGACTGTGCCTTAAAACCCTGTCAATGCATGTCAGATTTCTGTCATAACCCTAACTCCACTAGACTTTCAGAAAGCCATTGACAACGTGCTCGTGCACTCAGCCCCAGGCCCAGACTCGTGGAATTCTGTGTTCATTAAGAACTGCAAGAAACCCCTCTCATAATAGCTAAGAACTATAGACCAATAGCTCTAATGTCCCACATCATAAAAATCTTTGAAAGAGTTCCAAGAAGCAGGATTGCAAACCACTTGGATTCCTAAGAATTGCACAATCCAGGGCAACATGGGTTAAGAGCAGGTCGCTCCTGCCTCTCGCGACGACTGGACCACTATGATATGGTCTTGGATGCACTGGAAGAAAGAAGAGAATGCAGATGTAGTATACGTAGCTTTTGCAAAAGCCTTTGATACGTGTGATCATGGTGTAATAACACACAAAATTCGTGCTAAAGGAATAACTTTCAAGCTGGGTAGATGGATCGTTACCTTTTTAACCAATCGAACACAGAGTAGTGGTAAACAGAGTTAAATCGGAAGCAGCCATAGTGAAGAGATCTGTTCCACAAGGCACAGTACTCGCCCCAATCCTATTCCTCATCTTCATATTTGACATGGAGATGTAAAACATAGTACTGAATCATCCTTTGCAGACGACACTAGGATCTGCATGAGTGTGTCATCCATTGAGAATACGGCAAATCTCCAAGAAGATATGCCTGGAATCTACCTGGAGGGTATTCCGGGGATCAACGCCCCCGCGGTCTTGTCCACGACTAGGCCTCCCGGTGGATAAGGGCCTGATCAACCAGGCTGTTATTGCTGGCCGCACGTAGTCAAACGTACGAACCACAGCCTGGCTGATCTGGCACCGACTTTAAGTATTTGTCTAGCTCCCTCTTGAAGGCAGCCTGGGGCCTATTGGTAATTCCCCTTATGCATGGTAGGAGGCTGCTGAACAGTTTTGTGCCCTGGACACTTATGGTGTTTTCTCTTAGTGTCCCAATGACAGTTTAAGGGTTAAATGAAGGCAAATTCTAACTACTCCTGTATGGAAAAATGGAGGAAATAATAACTAGAACCGAGTTTACTACAAACTCTAATCACACAATAGAGCGGAAAAGTAATGTGAAGGACCTGGGAGTGGTAATGTCTGAGGATCTCACCTTCAAGGATCACAACAATGCCACTAGCACATCTGCGAGGAAAATGGTAGGATTGATAATGAGAACATGCACGACAAGGGATGCCAAACCATTGATGATCCTTTTTTTAAATCACTTGTTCTTTCTAGGCTGGAATACTGCTGTACATTAATATCTCCATTCAAGGCAGGTGAAATTGCAGACCTAGAAAATGAACAGAAAACTATACACAACCCGCACATAGAAGAGAGGAGCTTACGACGACGTTTCGGTCCGACTTGGACCATTTACAAAGTCAGTCACACTATGAACAGAAAACCTTTACTGCGCATATAAGCCCCGTCAAACATCTTAACTACTGGAAGCACTTGACTTGTACTCACTGGAGGTGCAGGCGAAAGAGATACTTCACAATCTACACCTGGAAAATCCTAGAGGGACTGGTCCCTAATTTTCACACACAAATCATTCCCTACGAAAGCAAAAGACTTGGCAGGCGATGCAACATGCGCCCAATGAAAAGAAGGGGCACCATTAATACATTAATAGAAAACACGAAGTGTCCAGGGCCCAAGATTGTTCAACAGCCTCTCACCAGCCATAAGGGGAATTACCAATAGACCTCTGGTTGTCTTGAGAGGAGCTGGACAGATACCTAAAGTCAGTGCCGGATCAGCCGGGCTGTGGTAACAATAACAGCAGTAACAGCCTAGTTGATCAGGCCCTGATCCACCGGGAGGCCTGATCATGGACCGCGTCGCGGGGGCGTTGATCCCCGGAATACCCTCCTGGTAGACTCTAGGTAGGTAGTGTGAGATGAGAAGGCGGCAGGTAGCGTAACATGAGAGGGTGGCAGGTAGTGTTAGATGAGAGGGTGGCAGATAGTGTAAGGTAAAGGGGTGAGGGTGGCAGATAGTGTAAGGTAAAGGGGTGAGGGTGGCAGGTAGTGTATTGTAAGGGGTGAGGGTGGTAGATAATGTATTGTAAGGGGTGAGGGTGTCAGATAATGTATTGTAAGAGGTAAGGGTGGGATATAGTTTAAGGTAGGGGTGAGAGAGTAACGATAGTGAGGAAGGTTTAATAGGAAAGTGAGAGCGTAGCGAAGTATTGGAGACTGGGCGAGAACAGTGCTGCTGCTGCGTCCAGCCTGCTAGAGAAAGCAGAGAAATGTGAGGCAAGAAAATCCCGACGAGAGAGGAATCAGCAATGAGCGGGGGGGGATAGTGGAGGGGGATTTTTTGGGGGGTGGGTAGATGTTGGGAGCAGAGAGCTGGGTGCGGGAGGGACGGCAAGCGGTGTACTACGACGCGCTGGGCTAGTGTGCTCTGAGACTTGATGGTGGAAGCTTGCGCCGCTACACCTCTGTGCTTTACTGCGTTACTAATATCTTGTGATGTGTGTTATAGTGCTTTTGGTAGAGATGAGAGTGGAGTGTGTAACCAGAAGAATTTAATATTGTGATTGTGCACTAGAGGCTTACATGTGTGGTGGGGAAAGGGGGTCGTGCGCGCCCTCCCTCTCCCAAAATCGTGGCCATGTTGTGCGAGTGGCGGAAGTGTGGGCAGGCCAGTCAAGCCTTGTGTCTTCCCTCTACCTCCCTCCCCTCCACTCACTCCTACCTAGAAAGGCTCTCGCACGCCCCGGTGAGCCAGATGTGGCGTGGAGCACTAGGCCTAGGGCGGTGGTGGTATGGCATGGGGCGGGCGGTGGGAGAGCTACGCAGGCCCACCACACCATCATCATCACCACCCACCACCACCACGCTGGCCCGCCCATCACCTCAGCTCTACCACGTTGCTGGGGTGCTTAAGTTCTCCCCGTATACTGGCGCTGTATATTACTAGTGTGGTGATGAACATCTCACTACACCATAACACTACCAATAATGCAGGTTAGCTTTTATATTTATTCTGCTTTACAGATACTGCCACTGCCGCCGTCACCACCACCCCACTCACTCCTACTACCACCACGACACATTCACTGCCACCCCACTCCCACTCCTACCACCACTACTGCTACACATTGTGTCGCTACACCATCACTAACACCATTGAAATAACTTACACAGTCACCACTACACACTACTGTCACTACTACCGCAATCACCCCACCCTCATTATTACTTCTACTACTATCACCACCACAACCACTACGCGCCCTCATCACTACTACCACCCCGTAACCCCACCCTCATCACTACTGCAACCAAACCACCCTCATTATTACTACTACTACTACAACCACACCTAAACCACACCCCACCCTCACTCATTACTACTACTACACCACACCCCACCCTCATTATCACTACTACTACTACCACCAACCACCCCAACCCCACATATACTACTGCTACCACACACCACCCTCATTATCATATTACCACCACCACCTCCACCTCATACAGTATACTACCCCACCACCCTTATCAGTATTACCACCCCACCCATCATCAGTATTAACTACCCCACCCTCATCAGTATTACCACCACCACCCTCATATCAGTATTACACCCCACCCTCATCAGTATTACCACCACCACCCTCAATCAGTATTACCACCCCACCCCATCATCACTATTACATCCCACCCTCATCATCACTATTACATCCCACCCATCATCATCACTATTACATCCCACCCCTCATCACTACCACGACCACCACCCCGCCCTCATCACTACCACACCACCACCCCACCCTCATCACTACCACGACCACCACCCCGCCCTCATCACTACCACGACCACCACCCCGCCCTCATCACTACCACGACCACCACCCCGCCCTCATCACTACCACGACCACCACCCCGCCCTTATCACTACCACGACCACCACCCCGCCCTTATCACTACCACGACCCCACCCCGCCCTTATCACTACCACTACCCCGCCCTCATCACTACCACCACCCCGCCCTCATCACTACCACCACCCCGCCCTCATCACTACCACCACCCCGCCCTCATCACTACCACCACCCCCCCTCACCACATCACCCCGCCCTCATCACCACCATCACACCCCGCCCTCATCACCACCATCACCCTGCCCTCATCACTACCACCACCCCGCCCTCATCACTACCACCACCACCCCGCCCTCATCACATACCACCACCACCCCGCCGTCCATTGTCACTACTACCACCACCACCCACCCCACACTCATACACTCACCACCTCACCCAACCCACACCCTCAATAAACCCTCTATCAGATTACCACACCCACCCTCATTATCAGTATTACCACCCCACCCTCATTATCAGTATTACCACCCCACCCTCATTATCAGTATTACCACCCCACCCTCATTATCAGTATTACCACTCCACCGTCATCACTACTACTACAGCCACCACCACCATTATATGTTCTCTATCATTACACCCTCACTATCATTGCTGCCTCCACCACACCCTCACTGTCACTGCTACTGCTACTTCTATCACATCCGCATTGTCCTGTTACCACCACGACAACCTCACTATACTACCACTACCACCCTCTCCTAACCCCACCATCCTCTCACTCCCACCACTACCCACTATCACTGCTACCTTCACTACACATTCACTATCACTAACACCCTCACTTCCACTACACCTTCACTTCCACTACACCCTCACTTCCACTACACCCTCTTTACGTTACCACTAAACAACCCTCACTATAACCACCACTACTATATCCTCAGTATCCCAACTATTACTAACACCCTCACTTTCACCACCACCACCACTACACCCTCACTATAACTGCTACTACCACTACCATAACCTCATTATACCCCCATAACATGCTCACTGTCACTACCACCACCACACCCTCACTACCACCACTAGCACTACTACACCCTCCCTATCACTTCCAGTCACACCCTCCCTATCACTACCATCATCACACCCTCAAAATCACTACCACCATACCCTCATTATCACTACCATACCTTCTCACAAAGATTAAACCCTCCCTTTTACTACCACCACCATTCCCTATCACTACCACACATACCCACTATCACTACCACCACAAACTCACTATCACTACCACCACCAAACCCTCACTATCAGTACCACCACCAAACCCTCACTATCAGTACCACCACCATACTCTGTCACTACCACCACATTCCTACTATAATCACTACGAACATCACACCCTTACTGTCACTACCACCACATTCACTACTATAATCACTACGAACATCACACCCTTACTGTCACTACCACCACATTCACTACTATAATCACTACGAACATCACACCCTTACTGTCACTACCACTACTACACCGCTCATGATCACTACCACCACCATTACCTCTATCACTTTATCTCCATACCATCACTCTCACTTCTACCCTCACTACCAACACCACACCCCTCACTACCACACCACACCCCTCACTACCAACACCACACCCCTCACTACCAACACCACACCCCTCACACCAACACCACACCCCTCACTACCAACACCACACCCTCACTATACCAACACCACACCCTCACTACCAACACCAACACCCTCACTACCATCGCCATCTCACTACTAATATCACACACTTCCAACACCGCGCCCTCGCTACCAACACCACTCTCTCTCTCTCTACCAGCACCTCACTCTCACTACCAACACCACACACTCACTACCAACACCACACACTCACTACCAATACTCCCTCCATACCAACACCACTCTCACTATCAACACCACACCCTCACTGTAAACACCTGCACTACCAACACCACACCCTTATTGCCAACACCACACGCTCAATACCGATACCACACCCTCACTACCAATACTCCCTCCATACCAACACCACACCCTCACTACCAACACCACACCCTCACTATCAACACCACACACACTACCATCCCCTCACTTTCACTACCAACACCACATCCTTGCTACCAACACTACACCCTCACTACCAACACCACATCCCCGCTACCAACACTACACCCTCGGTATCAACACTACACCCTCGGTATCAACACTACACCCTCAGTACCAACACTACACCCTCAGTACCAACACTACACCCTCAGTATCAACACTACACCCTCAGTACCAACACTACAACCCTCATACCACACTACACCCTCAGTACCAACACTACACCCTCACCCCCATCACCACACCCTCACTACCAAACCACCACACCCTCACTACCAACACCACTCCCTCACTACCAACACCACTCCCTCACTACCAACACCACTCCCTCACTACCAACACCACACCCTCACTACCAACACCACTCCCTCGCTACCAACACCACACCCTCACGGCCACAACTACATCCTCACTACCAACACCACACCCTTACTACCACTACTACCTCACTACCACCACTACCCTCACTACCACCACTACACCCTCACTACCACCACTACACCCTCACTACCACCACTACACCCTCACTACCACCACTACACCCTCACTACCACCACTACACCCTCACTACCAACACCACACCCTCACTACCAACACCACACCCTCACTACCACCACTACACCCTCACTACCAACACCACACCCTCACTACCAACACCACACCCTCACTACCAACCACTACCTCACTACCAACACCACACCCTCAATACCAACACACCTACAATACCAACACCACACCCTACAATACCAACACCACACCCTCAATACCAACTCCACACCCTCAATACCAACTCCACACCCTCACTACCACTACCACCTTCCCCTCATTACTACTACTCCCCCCCTCATTACTACCAGGACCTCATTACTACTACCACCATCACCTCCCCCTCATTACTACCACCACCACCTCCCCCTCATTACTACCTCCTCCCCCTCGTTACTACCTCCTCCCCCTCATTACTACCACCACCTCACTCTAACTACCACCACCACCACTTCACACTGCTACTACCACCACCTCCCCTCATTCCTGTCACCACCACCTCCCTCATTATTAGCACCACCACCTCTCCCCTCATTGCTACCACCTCCCCTCATTACTATCACCACCTACTTTCATTACTACCACCACCTACCTTCATTACTATCACCACCTACCTTCATTACTATCACCACCTACCTTCATTACTATCACCACCTACCTTCATTACTACCACCACCTACCTTCATTACTATCACCACCTACCTTCATTACTACACCACCTACCTTCATTACTATCCACCACCTACCTTCATTACTACCACCACCTACCTTCATTACTACCACCACCTACCTTCATTACTACCACCACCTACCTTCATTACTACCACCACCTACCTTCATTACTATCACCACCTACTTTCATTACTACCACCACCTACCTTCATTACTATCACCACCTACCTTCATTACTATCACCACCTACCTTCATTACTACCACCACCTACCTTCATTACTATCACCACCTACCTTCATTACTATCACCACCTACCTTCATTACTATCACCACCTACCTTCATTACTACACCACCTACCTTCATTACTATCACCACCTACCTTCATTACTACCACCACCTACTTCATTCTACCACCACCTACTCATTACTACCACCACCTACCTTCATTACTACCACCACCTACCTTCATTACTACCACCACCTACCTTCATTACTATCACCACCTACTTTCATTACTACCACCACCTACCTTCATTACTATCACCACCTATCTTCACCCCCTATCATTACTCACCACCTACCTTCATTACTACCACCACCTACCTTCATTACTATCACCACCTACCTTCATTACTACCACCACCTACCTTCATTACTATCCACCACCTACCTTCATTACTATCACCACCTACCTTCATTACTATCACCACCTACCTTCATTACTATCACCACCTACCTTCATTACTACCACCACCTACCTT